GTGTGTGTGTGTGTGTGTGTGTGTGTGTGTGTGTGTGTGTTGACTAGAAGGAAAGCTGGCCATGGTTGTGTTTACATTTCATCTTTCTATCACAGTATGTGGAAGGAGGACTGTGAGTGCTAGAGTTGGAGGATCCCTGAGGAGAATTCGGCCTCCTCCAGAGAAGGGACTGACTGAGAGGCTCTGAGCATCTTATCTGGAGACAGAGGAGAGGCATGTCCCCTTTCATAGGTAGTTTATCCCACTAGGACCCATATGTTACTGTTCACAAATGGAGATTTCATTAGGACTCATGAGGTTCTGCATGGATGTCTGGGTAGCTCAGTGGGGTGGATGGTGCCAGATGGTGTCTGTGTCTCCAAATTTTGCTCTTACCCTGTTTTGGCCATGGCTATTTTTCTTCTTTTCTTTTCCTATAGGTTTTTTTTTTTTCTTTTTCTGAGACAGTGTCTCCCTGTAGCCACAGCTTGCCTAGAACTCACTATGTAGCCCAGGCTGGCTTGATTCTCAGACAGATCTGCCTGCCTTTGCCTCCCAAGTGCTAGGATTAAAGGCACACAGTACCACATCCATCTTCTTTCTTTTCCTATTTTTTAAAAATAGATTTTTTTTTATTTATGGGAATATGTCTCTGTGTGTATGTGTGCATGAGTACAGGTGTCCTTGGAGGTTAGAAAAGGATGCAAGGTCCCTGGGAGCTGGATAGGTAGTTGTGCCCAGTGTGGATTCAGGAATCCAAACTTGGGTCCTCTGTAAAAGTAGTATGCGTTCTTTTTTTCTTTTTGAGACAGGGTCTCCCTGTCACCCCAGCTGGTCTGGAACTCATTATGTAGACCAAGCTGGTCTCGAACTCACAGAGATCCACCTGCCTCTGCCTTCTGAGTGCTGGGACTAAAGGCATGTACCACCACATCCGGCATAGTATGTACCCTTAATCACTGAGCCATCTCTCCAGCCTCTTTTACTATATGTGTCTTTTTGAGATAGGGTTTCCCTATAGCCCCAGCTAGCCTAGAACTCACTATGCAGACCAGGTTGGCCTCAGTCTCCCAGAGATCTGCCTGCCTCTGCCTCCAGCGTGCTGGGCCTAAAGGTGTGAGCTTCTTTTCCTTTTTTTTGAGAAAGGGTCTCAAGAATCCCAGGCGGACCTAAGACTCACTACTAGAGGATGACCTTGAACTTCTGATCTTCCTGCCTCCACCTCCCAAGTGCTATCACCAGCATTCACCACCATGCCCTGTTCATACAGTGCTGGGGATGAAACTCAAGGCTTCCTGCATGCTAGGCAAGCATTCTTCCAACTAAGCCACAACCCTGCACTATTTTCTCTTGTAACCTTGATGAAAATGTGAAAATTCTTTTTTTTCTAAATAAACAATACAGTATAAAGTTAAATAAATAAACAGTATAAAGTTATACTGTGGGTTTAATGGTATTTGAGCATTTTAACATGTTTTCCCCACTGGGAAATCAGGGTCAGGGCATGTGCCCTGGGCACCTGAAAGTGAATATAAGCAAATGGATGTAGATATATTCTGTAAACTGTGATGTACTAGGTCCAAGTGTATTGGATTTGAGTTAGGATTAGATGCCTTGGACTGTTGGCAAGGCTGTCCTCGTCCTCTAACTCCTGCCTCAGCCTCCCAACTTTTGGGACTACAGGCAGTTGCCACCATGCCTGGCTTGCGTGCTCTCCTGAACCTCTGCATCTGAAAACTTGCATCTCCACTCCTCCTTCCTGACTTTGGAAATGAGAGTTGGGTGGACCCCACAGTTTAGAAATGAAAAGCAGCTGTTCCTCCTGGATGCTTTATTGGGGACTCTCAGTGGTTTCTAAGCATCTGCAGCAGTGACACCCAGACTGTTTCCCAACATGCAAAAGGCACAGGAAAGTCAGACCCGGATGGGGGCGGGGTCAGTGTGGAGAGACCCCACTGCATGCAGCACAGGGGAAGCCTCTGGAATACGGAAAGGTGGGCACTAAGGGAGGTGGTGAGGAACCACCATTATTCTTGAGCTGAGACAGACCTTCAGAGGGAAGGTCAACATGGCTTTTGCTGAAGGTCCCACCTCGCAGGATGGGAACTCAACTCAAGGTACAAGTGGCTGATGGCTGCTGCTTTGGGGGTTTCTATTTGGGTGCCAAACCGTGCTCGCTGGCCAATCGGGGGAGGGTGAAGGGTGTGCCCATGGTGTTGGTCCCAGCCACAGCCAGGTTTGGGGGTGCCACTGCTTGGTTCCAGCCAGTGCTGTCACAGTCCATGTCCAGGAGAAGAATGAGACCCCTTCTGGTCTTCAGAGGCCTCCCAGGGGACTCTGGTTCTCCAACCCCAGCTGGAGTTACTGGCTAGTTGAGTTGCATCTCCGATGTTGGCTTTGTCCTATAGAAGAGGTCCCTGGTGAGAGGGAAGGCTGGGGTCAGGCCCTTTGAGTCCCCAGCACCTCCCAGAACCTGAGCCCTGCTGGGTGGAGTGTCCTGGGACTCACCTCAAATCCTAACCAGTTCCCACAGTAATGTCTTGAGACCTTGAATCAGAAGAAAAGGCATTCGTGTTTGTGTTTGTTTTCTTGAGCGCTCTCTCTCTCCTCAAGTAGAGGCATGGCCTCAAATCACGGTGTTGGCGACATCTACTTCTACACTATGGAATGTTGTCACACTGACGATAGAATTACTCAGAACAAGGGAGTGCTGTCCAGTGCTCATGGGACAGCGAGCTACTGAGAGGGAGTTGGGAAGCACACAGCACAGAGACACCGCCAGTCAGACACCAGGCCCTGGCCCCACTCTAGATGTATTTTTTCTTGAGGTACCAGTAGGCAAAGTAGCCCATCCCGCCCAAGGAGCCCATGAGGAAGGATGCCCCGAAGAATGATGGTGGTTTCCTCTTGACCAGCCGGAATGCGTTGGGGATGACAGCTGACAGCAGCGTGGTATGGATGTCACCCAGGACTTTCCGGAAGGCAAAGCGTCTCTGGACCCTCTCAAAGAAGGACTGCAGGTTGGGCCGACTGCCATCTTCCCAGTATTTCTTGGACAGTCCCAGGAACTTGAGACGGTGCAGGGTGGCTCCGAGAAGGACGTCTGCCAGGGTGAAGGCACAGCCGCAGAGCCACAGCTCGCATTTCTGCCCTGGAGATGGAGAGGAGATCCAGGCACTCACTTCTCCCTCAGAAGCCCTGGCTCTGGTCTGCCAGCATCTCCTGAGGACATTTCCTTCCTGGACCACTTTGAAACTTCTTGCCACAGCCCTGCATATACTGCCTTCGTTCTTAATCTAACTGACTTCTAAACTGCAAATATTTCTTTTAAATTAAAAAAAAATTCTTTTTTGTGTATGAATGTTTTGCCTACATGTAAGAGCACCCATGTCATACAATGCCTGCAGAGGCCAGAAGAGAGCATTGGATTCCCCTGGAACTGGAGTTACAGACAGCTGTTAGCCATCATGTGGGTGGCCAGGACGTGAACCTGGATCCTCTGTAAGAGCAGCCAGTGCTCTTAACTGCTGAGCCATCTCTCCAGTTCCATACCATGCCAAGTTTTTTGCGATGCTTGGGGATGGATTCCAGGACTATGTGCATGCCAGGCAAGCACTCTACCAAATGAGCCACATCCCAAGACCTCTTTTTTAAAAATTTTGAGACAGGATCTTGCTCTGTAGCCAAATCTGGCCTCAAATTTGCCATCCTCCTGCCTCAAGAGTGTGGTTAAGAAAGCATTTCAGGGAGGAGCGAGTGCTCAGCTATGCTCTGTGCTACATAGTCAACTAAGATGAAGTCTGGGCCCTGGCAGTCACATGTGAGTGGTTGGTAAATTGACAAGGGCAGCTGAGTGGAGTGCTGACCCTGAAAACTTGCTTCAAGGAATTCAAGAGAAGGGAGGAGAGGAACTAGAGGCAGCGAGCAAAGGCAGCCCCTTCAAGGAGTTTGCCATCACTGGAAGGACAGGTCAAGAGCATGAGAACAATCAAGGACAGTTCATAAGCTAGAAGATGCCAGAAAAATAGTGATGGAGCAATGTGGCAGAGGGGGGAGGTGGTGCTGGGGAAGAGTGGAGAGAATGCTGATGTGGTTGTTGAGCTGCTAAGCTGGATGGGACCAGGAGAGACAGAAGGGGCCTGTCTTAGTTAGTTCAAGAACCTCCATGCTTGATAACTAGGGAATGTGTACCACCATAGTCATCAAGGCTAAGTTACCATCAGATGCAAGACACCCACTTCAGGATAAGAATATTCAACAATTGGTCACAAAAGAAACTTTCCAGTTCCAGAGATGCCAGAATGGGGTTTGGCAAAGCTACATGCTGGAGTGAGTAAGATCTCATGTTCCATAGACTCTGCTTCTGGGGGCCTGGGGAGTTGTTGTAGGGACCAGGACTATAGAGATCCTTCCTAGTGCTTTGATTTCCTCAGTGACTTGGAGAGAAAGGAATCAGTTGCCAGTGAGGACTGGGGAAGTCATGGTGGGTGAAGGACTGGGGAGATGGTACAAAGGAGCCCTCTGGAGAGTGGGGCAGAGGAGCATGCAGGTTAAGTTCACCTCAGGCTAGTGTCACTAGCTCAGGTGAGTCCCATCAGCATGATGGCTAAGTTTTTCCCCATCCACAATTAGGACCAAGACAGGGCCATGGGTACAAGCATTGGGCAGGTGGCAGTTCAAGTCTAGCCAAGCCTGAGAGGGTCAGCAAAGTGAGTGTAATGAGGCAGGAGAATGGCAGTGGAGTGGGACATGTGCTTGATGATAGGTCAAAAAACTCCTGCCAGGTTTCAGGAGGACAGCGTGATGGGGACAAGGGACAGTGGAAGGAGACAGGATCAAGGGATGGACTTCCCAGCCACAAACTTCTTGACCCAGCAAGGGAATGAACATACACAGGGCTTGAGACATGGACCTGGATGGAGCCCTGGGGTCCTCCATGGTCTGGATGTGCAACAAGGAGAAACCAGTCAGAGATGCCTGGGGGAGTGTGCTGGAGACTAGACTTAGTAGGTGCTACTACGCTCCATTCTACAGATGAGGAAATGGGGGACAGGTTCAGTCACTTGGTCCAGTGAGCTAGAGATGAGCCTGCGGTCTGCTGTGCCTACTACATCACACTGCTCTTTTCCACATGCAAGTGACCATGGCGTGGCAGGTATGCTATATGCTCAGGTCTCTTTCAATGGGCTCACACTCTACTTGACTCTGTCTGTGTGGGCATACTGCATGCCCTGTGTGTTTGCCCCTGGGTCTGCCTGCACAGACCCATGAAGCTGACTGCTTATATGCAAATGGCTGCATGGGCATCTGTGCCCACGTGATACATAAGTGCAGTGTGTGCCCAAGTGCTTGTATGTAAATGTGAGCATGTATGCAGGGGTCCTGCCTATGTGTGTTTGTAGGCTAACAGTGGCAGCTATTATGCATGTCACATATATGCATGGCCTGGACACTTGTCTGGTATGTGTTCAGAGGACAGACCTGTCTGATGTTCCCTCCCCTCTCCTTTACTGTGCATCTGTCTCAAAGTCCACACTTGAGCTGACCCTGCTGGCATGCCTGAGTCTGCCAGCTGTGCCAACTGGTTGGAGCTCCACCCTAGCACTATGAACTCAGGACAGCAAAGCCTGGGTGGGTGCTCAGACCCACCTGTCCTACCACGGTTCTTGAGAATGCTGCTTCCCCTCTCTCTGTACAGATGATGGTGGAATGATTCGTCTCCTCCCACCCTCACCACCCTTCCCCCAGGCCTCTCAGTTGGTGCCAGCACCTTCAGACACATGAGTCCTCAGCCCCTTCCACAAAGCCCACAAAGCCCAGGGCACACACCCAGTGGCCCTCAGCCCCTCAAGGAGGTTTGAAACTAGAATGCCCAGTCCTCTCCTCTTGGTGGCCAGCCCTCTGTAGGACTGCAACTGTCCTAGGCTGTGACTCTTCAGTCTCTTGCCTCTCTAAATCTGTCCCCTGATCTCCACACTGCTCTGCACCCCAGGACATCAATGTAATAGATCCCCACCCCTTCAGTGTGGGCTTTGCCATGTCACTCGCAGATCAGGCATCAGTAAAACTGACCCAGGCAGACATGGAAGAGATTTGTACACCACTCTCAAGATGTTCTTGGTAACCCCGTGACTATCACCTTATGACATAGCAGTGAGGCCACTGGCTGCTGGCTGGTCATAATCCAGGAGTGAAGCCAGCCATTCCCGCATAGGAAAAAGGCAAGTTTCTCAGCTGAACCTAGCCCACATGGCCGAGCCACCAACCATGAACAAATCAAAGGCTTGAATTTCAAGTCTCATATTTGGAATGGTTTGTTATACAGCAAAGCTAACTGTTATAATCTCTTTCTCAAAATCCTCCAAGCATTTCCCATTACACTCAGGATGAACTATGGTAAACACAGGCTTTGAGCCTGCCTTCTCAGCTGAGATCTGCAGATGACCTTAGAGGGTGAAGTAAACCCCACAAGGCCACAAGTCAAGAAGGTGCATGAATGTCATCAGCTATAGGCTAAAAGACTTGACTTAGCATTACAGTACTACCCACCTCTGGCTCAGCAGACTAGGGAAACTAGAAGATTCCTACAGGTTCAGTGGGTCACTTGTGGGTGATTGAGTGACAGGCTATGTGGGTCATAGCCACCTCCCTGAGGCCTCTGCTTCCTCCTCAGCCCCAAGGGACATAAGGACTATCCAGACCTCTCCATCTTGAGCGACTCCAATTATTATATCCTGCTGCAGGTGACAAAGCCTCTAGCCTGAAGACCTCAGATGGAAACAGAAGGGACAGCAGGAAGGTCCCTGCCTGGAACTGTCTAGAAGAATGCATGTCTGACACCCTCATCCAGGACCTCAGACTCTGCCCCCACCTAAGCCAGACCCTGCCTCCTTCAGTCACACCAGCAGTTAATGTCCATGGGTGGATCTTTTCACTCTGAGTGCCATGTAATGTGCCAGGCCCAGGATATGCATTTTCTCACCAATCCTCACCCCAGTCCTGGAAAGCAGGACCCTACTTTATCAACCCTTAAGGACAGAAGAGGCACCAGTGCCTAAGAACTTGAGCTCTGGGAGTTAGAGTATGAACCCAGGGTTCTGTCAGCATGGCCTTGGGAAAGTTCCCAAACCTGTCTGTGCCTCAGTTTCCTCATCCATGCATTATCGTTTACTCATTCAGCTACACGCCATTCTTAAGGCAGCTGCCTTTAGTATGCATGTGTGTCCAGCAGTACCCATTATGATCCCGTTCTTTCCCTAACACCATGGATCAGCTGTGTGACCTTGAACAAGTTCTTTTGTCTCTCTGAGTCTTAGTTTTCTCATCTGGATAAGGCTAGCCATGAACTCATGATCCTCTTGTCTCAGCCTCCTAAGTGCACAGACTATGGATGTGTACCCCCGCACCTGGCTGAAGTTAAGGTTTTAAGTGGTATTATCCATTTTACAGATGAGGAAACTGAGGTTCCCATAGGAAAACCAGTATGTCCCAGGTCACAGAGTCTGGACATCAAAGCTGGAGCTCTAAGCTCTCTTTCCCGATACTGTTCTGCAGCTTCCATTACACAGGCTCACATGTGCAGGAAGCTGGGAGTATGGACTGGCATGTCACGCATACTCCAGTCTCTTGCCCTGTTGAGGAGATGAGACTATATCAGATATTTAAGGCAGAGATGGAATAGTTTAGAGCAAGATTGGAAGAAGGACTGGGGAAAAGACATTGTCTGGGTTAACAGGGCAGGTGGTAGGGAGTGGACGCCAGGCTAGAGTTGCTGCAGGGACAAAGGTGAGAATGAAGCTAGTATGTGAGGGTCAGAGACGTCCTCAAGTGCAGGAAGTCAGCATCAGAGCGTAAAACTGGATGTCTGACTGTGGCAGCCAGAACCTTAAGACATCATCATGTGGGGCCGGGTAAGACAGTGGGTGGGTATCAGTCACCACACGGCCTTCTCCACCCATAGGAGTAAATGCACGCCATGTGCTACCCACCCTGAGCACGTGTTTCATGTCATACAGTGTTCAAACAGTTCTGTCATTATCTCCACTCTACATATGGGAGACCAAAGTCTAGGGAGAGGAGGGACTCATCCGGGGTGCTCAACCACTCAGCACTCAAACCCAAGTCTGTCTGACTCCTCTGTCCCAACTCAGAGGGTCTCTAGGATGTTTGGGAAGAAAGGGGCTGGGGATTGGCAGGGGAGGAGAGGGGAGGAGGGTGGGCTTAGCCCCTCCACACTGGTCTGGCACCTACCCTCATTCTCCAGCTTCCTCTTCTCCAGCTCTGCTTCAATCTGGTCCAGCACCATGGCCAGCTCCCCGAGGATCTTCTTCAGGTAGCTCACATCATCATGCTCCAGAATCTTGGCCTATGGACAAGACAGGAAGGGGCCCAAGTGTGAGATGCCCTCATGGGATTCAGGATATCCAGAGAAGCAGAAGCTTCACCTAATCCCGCTTCTGCATATCCGGCCTTTGGAAAGGCCCTCCGGTGTACAGCATGCTCCCACCGTCACAAGGCACTTTCATCTGTGGCTACACCAGTCCAGTAAGCATGGAGCTGGCACACTTCCATGGTTTCTGCTATGTGCTAGTGGCTCACTGATGTTCTTTCTTCAGAGAACTTCTCTCAGCCAAGGAGAAGCTGTCTTGTTCAGAAACCCATGGAGGACGACCCCCATCCTACCAGGCCATCTGTAGCCAATGGTCAGCTAATATGAAGGTATTAAAAGCATGGCCCACTATGTGATGCCTTTGTACTCCAGAGCTTCCTATGGGGTCAGATGAGGCTTAGCCACATCCTTGTCTCTATCCCTCCCATCTTCACTGGGTGTCATTGGAACACTCCCTCCACACCATCTTATGCAAGAACCTGCTTTCAGGGCAGATACAAGGTACTGGAAGCCTGAGGGTGGCAGTGGCTTGCCCAAGGCTAAACTGCCAATAAGTGGCACAAGAGACAGGTTTGGAGGAGCAAAGCAGTGCTTTTTCCAGGTCAGACCATCTTTCACTCCTCCGTTTAGAAGCAGTTTCCCCTACTTTTTTCCCTGTCCCTGGGAGGGAAAGAGAGGAAGGGGACCGTGGACTGGGGCACTCACCATGAGCTTCTTCTGTTTAGAAAGGTAGGGCTCAGAGAGTTGTGGCTCCTCTTCATGGTCCAGTTTCATGAGGTCTGTGGTGGCGTTGGCTAAATGTCCTGGAGACAGAATAGGAAAGATCTTGTCTCCCTGTTCCCCAGAGCCTTCCCTTCCCCTATATGACCAGGAATCATTCCATCCAAACACTGGTCAAGGAAGAGACCAGAGCACCAGTTAGCACTTGAATACCATGGTCTGCTACATGGAGTGGATGATACGGCACCCTGCCCCAGAGGTCTAGCTGGTGGGAGAGACAGACCCACAGAACCATCTCCATGACATAGCACAACTGATCTGGAATGAAGAATGAAGAGCACATGGGGGGCCAGGAGGGATGTCTGTCTGGGGTACAAGGGATCAAACCTTGCTGAGGAGGGGAGGAGGGGATTCTGGAAAAGTGTAGAACCAAAACCCCAGACCTCTTCATGTCCCTGAAATCCTTCCCCAACAACAAAGCTAAGCCAGCCTAGGGGTGTCCTTAGCTCCTCTTCACCTCAAATCAGGCCCTGTGGGCTCTTCCTCCACTACACCTCATTTTTACTTCCCCCCACTATATACATTCAGCCCTCTGTTGCTCAGTGTATACCCTGATCATCTTGTTCTTGAGTGTGATTTATTTATTTTAATATTTTATTTATTTTTATTTTATGTGTCTGAGTGTATTGTCTGCATGTAGGTAGGTACATGGGTGTCGTGCAATGCCTGTGGAGATCAGAAGAGGGCGTCAGATCCCCTGGAAGTGGAGTTACAGACAATTGCTAGCCGTCATGTGGGTGCTGGGAGTTGAACCCGGGCTCCTCTGCAAGAGCAGCTAGTGCTCTTAACCACTGAGCCACCTCTCCAGGCCCCACTTGGGTGATTTTTAACTCAGGTCTAGCCTTCTCCACTCTCACCCCACCTCTTCTAGAGCACTTGTGTGCACACATTCTTTCCTCTTCCTGTTTGCAGCTCCTTCTGGCCCCCCTCAGATAATGTCCCAGTTCTCAACCTGCCTTCAGAAACCACAAGTTCCATCTCTTCCTTCTCACCTGCTCCATCTCTAATTGAGCTACCCCCATGGCCCTGTCTCTAGAGGGTACGTCACAGTCACTCCAAGTGTTTCCTGTTCTCTGAACATACCAGACAAAGCCAAACCTTCTGGCCCACATTCCACTCCTGGAAAAGCTCTTCCCCATTCTTCAGGTCTTACTATGGTGCCTTTGTCCCCAGTATATGCTCTGCAGACCTCTGCCAGGAGATGCAAATACACCAACCAGGGCTGCCACAGCATAACTCCACTCAGCATAAATCCACTCATCAGTGGCCTCTATGAAAGTGGCCCCTGCACTTGTGCAGTGCACAGCCTAGACTGCTTGCTGTATGTGGCCATTATGATGCTAATTCTTTTTTTTTAAATTTTATGTGTATGAGTGTATTGTCTGCATGTAGGCAAGTGCACCCATGTCGTGCAATGCCTGTGGAGGTCAGAAGAGGCCATCAGATACCCTGGGACTGAAGTTACAGACAGTTGTTAGCTGCCATGTGGGTACTAGGATTCGAACCCAGGTCTTCTGAAAGAACAACCAGTGTTCTTAACCGCTGAGCCATCTCTCCAGCCCTTATGATGCTAATTCTTTTTTTTTAAATTTTATGTGTATGAGTGTATTGTCTGCATGTAGGCAAGTGCACCCATGTCGTGCAATGCCTGTGGAGGTCAGAAGAGGCCATCAGATACCCTGGGACTGAAGTTACAGACAGTTGTTAGCTGCCATGTGGGTACTAGGATTCGAACCCAGGTCTTCTGAAAGAACAACCAGTGTTCTTAACCGCTGAGCCATCTCTCCAGCCCTTATGATGCTAATTCTGATAGATTCTGAGCTTCTGCTGAGCTGCGGCTATGTGAGACTCATTTCTGTTCTCTGAAAGCCCAGCACAGGCTGAGCACAGAGCAGAACTCAGTGAGCATTGAAGGAAGGGAATGAGCCAGGGTATGCATGACTGCAGCTGTCTGACATCTGCCCTCTGAAGTCTCACCGCCTACCTTCTGCCTGGCCCGATGCAGTCTCAGTAAGCATCCCCAGCACTTCCGGCTCCAGGCTATATTAAGTCTCATTGATGTTTTATGGATGTGAAGGTCAAGTACATCTCTCTTACCCAGGGCTGCCCATGTGGTTGGCTTTGGACTACAGGGAAGACCTTGAACTGATCAGGGTCACTGCAAGCTGACTTTGCTCCTCTGTACCTTGTGAGATCTCCTGCTCTACCTGGGTGGGATCTCAAGAGTCTCTCTGCTTTCTCAAAGAGGAACGCTGGGCCCACTCTGAACCCTGCTGCCTTCCAGGTCCCAAGAGATGGCTTGGGACAAGAAGAAGACAATGCCCAGTGCACAGCCAGACCATATCACTGCTTACCTAGATGCCAGCCAGGGCTTCCCATTGACTCCTCTCCCAGAGACTCTGGTGTTTGGGAGATGCAGATCTGCCCATGTCAAGTCTATCATTTTTTCCAGAAAGCCCTCCCTCCTTCAAACCTACACCTGAGGTTTAGATGAGATACTGCTCCTCCCCTCACTCCACTATGTTCCCTTTAGTTTCCCACACACTGTACTTGTCCTATCCCATAGCCTGACACCTCCTGCCCCTGCATCTCCCAAATGTTCCTACTTGTTCTTGGTTGTTGCCACAACCCCAGATCCTGGGACCAGCATCTTCTGTTTCCCTGATCCTGCTGTTGGTACTAGATTTAAAAATTTAAGCCAGGCGTGGTGGTGCACGCCTTTAGTCCCAACACGCAGGAGTTGGAGGCAGGTGGATCTCTGTGAGTTCAAAGCCAGCCTGGTCTACATAGTGAGTTCCAGGCCAGCTGGGGCTACAGGGAGACCCTGTCTCAAAAAGACAAAAAGAAAAATTTTTTTTTAGGTTATTCATGTTAAAAACTCAAGCAATGGGGACTGGAGAGATGAGTCAGCAAAGAGCACTGACTGCTCTTGCAGAGGACCTGATTTCAATCCAGCACCCACATGGCAGCTAACAACAGTTCTAGAGAAATCCAGTGCCCTCTCCTAACCTCCGTGGGCACTGCATGACATGGGTGCACTTACATATATGCATGCAATACACACATGCACATAAAATAAAAATAGCAATAAATAAAATATTTAAAAACTCAAGCAATGGTAAAAGATGCACTATAAAAATAAATGTCTCAAGTCAGGCGTGGTGGCTGGCATGTGCCTGTAATCCCAGCACTTTAAGGTAGGGGGATCAGGAGTTCAAGGTCATCCTTAGCTACATAGTGAGTTTGAGACCAGACTGGGCAACATGACACCTTGTTTCCCAACCCCCAAACCAAACCAAACCATAAATATATTTACATCTTCAGATTCTCAGCTTTGTTCCCTGAAGACCCACATGAAACTCCTGCAGCTTGTGAACCCTTCCAGAACACCCCTTTCCCTGCGACCCTAGTGCATCCTCAGTACTGACTAGAATAGAACATAAACATGGCACATTCCCTTTCTCCTTTTCCTACTCATCATCTTTGAGAATATCCACACACCTATTTTTTAGTTCTCCATCGTGTGCCATAACGAATTGACCCAGTCCCTGCTGACTACTCGTAGATACCCAGGTTATTTTGAGTGGTATTTCTTAGTATGGTCAAGTCTTCTGTGGTGGATATGTTTGCACATTCTTGTATATGTTTGCATATATACATATACATATATGTATATATATTTCTTGGTACAAGTGTTCAATGCAACTGTGGGATAATCTACAAGGGATGGGCTTTCTGGCATCTAGTAGAGAGTTCCTCCTCCAACCCTCAAAGACTATTTAAGTTTATTTAGTCTTGTACTGTAATTACCTGCCCTTGTCTTTGTTCCCCCAACTGGTGACCCTGGGCTGGTAGAAGCTGTGTTTATCTTTACCTGTCCCCACCCTCACCCAGGGCCTCATTAACGTTGCTGACTGAATGGGGGCAACAGCATAAAAATAGCTCCTGAGTCCTCCTCAAGGGGATTTAAGGGTCAGGGCTGAGTTCTGAGACCTGACCCCTCCCTGCCTTGGCACATCAGTGGAACAATGGAGGATGGGAGAGGGGAGAATGTGAGCACTCACTAAGCATCCAGGACCTAGAGGATGGCCATGTCTGTTGTGCTTGCAGGACCCCCAAATGCTGTAACAAAACCTAGACCCAAATCCCCATGAACAGCTGTGGATGGGCCATCTGATTGAATCCAACTCCCATTGATCAGCTATGGGTAGGCTGGTGGTTAGTACGGTACATGGGTGATTCTGAACTAGAGACCAGAGACCTACTAGTGTCTTTCTATGCCTGGGCATCTTTCTTTGGAAACCTCAACCCTGAGGTCACTCAGTGTTCTTAGCCACTAACCACAGGGCCCTTCCCCAGTCTCTGACCCCAGGTGTCACTAGCTGGGGCTCCCAGGAGGTCCCACAGATCTGAGACGACAACCTCTGGAGGACAGATATCTGAGCAGTGTCTGAATGGGGTGGCAGGACAAGAGGAGGAGGTCAAGGAAGAGTAAGAGGGAGAGAGGGAGGGGAAGCATGAATGTAGAGGCCCCGGGAACAGAGACACAAAGTGCAGAATGGAGGGCCCTCAGGAGGGAAAGAGGTGATGAGGGTATAGAGAGGGCGCCATGGGGCTGCACTCACTGCGGATCTCAGCCGTGGCATACTTGGGGATCATGGAGTCTGTGGTGAGCTCAGGATGCAGGATGCAGCCATGTGTGTAGGCGTCCATGGGCAGTGCGTCCAGTAGCTCCCGGTACTGCAGCACTCGGGCGTGTTGTGGACTGCCTGCCTCAGGCATCAAGGGCACCACGTGTTCTGTGGGTACCACCAAGGGCTGGAGCAAGGCCCATGACTGGCCCCACTCAGTCACTCACCTCTAGCAACCCAGAGCCCCAAATGCCATGCCCAGAGGCCCCAGGCCTACCCTTCTGGGGCTCAGCCACAGGCTGCTAGAAATCCTAGTGGTCTGGCTGCTACTTTGCCTAACTGGGTTTGGTCAAGCTGTCCCTTATAAGGGTCAGAGCCTCTTAGTGCCAGATATTGGCCTGGCGGAGTTGGGTCTGGTTTCTACCAGCTGCAAAGCTGGATGCTTGGAACTCAAGCCTCCTTGACTTTCAGTCATTGGCCAATTATTTTTCCTATTGTGCCTTTTTCTTTCTTTGAGCAGGATCTCACTGCACCCCAGCCTATTCTCAAACTGGAGATTCTCCTGCCTCAACTTCTAAGTATTAGGAGTTCAGGGTACAGGCATGTGTCACCATGCCTAGCAAATTCATACTCCTTTTTTTTTTTAAGATAGAGGCTCCTGTTGTTCAGCGTGGCCTTGGACTCACAGCTATGTAGTTATGGCTTTGAACTCCTGATCTTCTAGCCTCTACCTCCCAAGTGCTGAGATTACAGGCATGAGCCACCATGCCCTACTTGCAAATCCATATTCTTAAAATCAGTAAAAGCCTGGGTCCTGGGCCCACTGTCTGTGTCCCGAGCCTTGACCAGGGGGAGCAAGCTCCTGAGCCTACAGAGGGCAAACAGCTGGAGAGAACACAGTGTCCTACGAAGTTCTACAGTGTTGTGGTCTTTTGTGTGTCTGCAGGGTTTCAGGGTGCCTGAGACTATGTCTATGATGGTTCCTGAGAGTCTGGTCCTGACTATGCCTGTACAGCTGTAGGGTGCTGGGTCCTGAGAAATTTTAGCCCTGTCTGTGGGAGCCTGAGGGTATCCTGAGGGTCAGGGCTGGGCCTAAGCCTGCAGAGGTCCTGGAGCAGGGGAATGTAGCCCAATACACCTGGAGGGTCTGTATCATGCCCTTCCCTTGAGTGCTAGGGAGAGGTATGTGGCTCTTGGGGATATCTAAGCCCTGCCTATAGCCTGTGGTTCCTGTGGGGGACACTGGGCCTCCTTGCCTGGGTTCAAGGGCACTGTCAGAGCCTGTGAGGTCCCTGTCACATGCACTGACTGCACCTATGGGAGCACACCATACCTCCTGTGAAGGTGCGCTCCACGTAGTCGATGATCTGATCGTAGTCACTGATTATGTTGTCTCGGTGGATAATGACGGGCACCTCCTCGCCCAGGTTGAGCCGCATGAACCAGGGCTCCTTATGTTCGCTCTGTGGCAGGCTCACATCTCGCTCCTCACATGCCAGGCCCTTCTCTGCAATCACCAGCCGCACCTGCAGGTGCCAGGGTCAGAGCGGGGGGAAGGCGGGCAGACACAGGGGACACTCTGCCCTGGTGGGCGGGGCGTGCGGGGAAGGAGGTCAGAGGTCACACACAAGAGGGGACACTGTTGCTTGCAGCCCATTCTTGGGCACTTGGGTAGGGGGATATGGCACTGGGGCATGGCTTGGGGCATCCCAAGCTGGGACATGGAGCAGTGCTGGCTAGTGGTTAAGGGGCTGACACACTGGGCTAGGGTTCCCAGCTGTGCAGATGTGGGCATATTCCCTAAACCTTCTGGACCTCATTTGCGAATGGGAGTATTAATGGTTCCAACCCAGTGTCTAGCACACAGATAGTGCTCAATTCATGATTAGTGTTACCATAATGCAGAAACTCAGCCCAGCCTTCAGAGGTGGATCTGGCCAGGACTTTCATAGAAATTCCAAGCATCTTCGTGATCAAGGGTCAAATGGCTCAAACCATTGGGGGAATAAAGTGAGGTGGATGATAACGTATCCATATCCATAGAGCCCTGTGTGGCCTCCAAACACCTTCCTGTCTGCCTGGTTAGGGCAGAACAGGGAGAAAACTAAAGCCAGGAGAGGGCTGGAAATTTGCCCAAAGTTACACAACAGCTTAGAAGCCACCTTAAAGCCAGAAGCAATGGTCCCTGACTCTCAGACCTGTGCCTTCTTCTCTGAGGGTTTTCTCTAGGGAGTTCTGGGACTGGCTTCTCCTGAGTCTAAGGGGGCTTTGGACAAGCATTTGGGCTGGACAACTGACTGGGCTCTGACTCAGCCTGGTGTTTCAGGACTGGAAGATGGCTAAAACTCCCTAAGCCCAACTGCCCACTCCTGTGGGCCAAGTCTCAGGAAAGAGCATGGTCTAGTCCCAGGTTCCCAGGAAGGGGATGATGGTGAGGGAATATACTCCCACGTTGTCCTCCCACCTTTGGGCTCCAGTTCAGGGTCATAGGGTCACTCCTGAAAGAGGTAGAGGCCATTCTTGAGCATCTATACCCCCGTACCATAGGTGGCAGGTCCTGACCTGGTGACCTCATCCTCCCTCCCAGATGCCAGTTCATTACCAGAAGAGGTAGCCTGGTGTTAGGATCACCTTGCGTGTCTGTTCCAACCTAGTAGGCAGCTTTAAAAGCTGCCTTACTCCTGGACCCTCCTGCTGTAGGAAGTCCTGTTGTATCCCTCATAGGGCTGTGGGAGGAGTAAATATTCAGTCCTGTGGGATGCAGCCAGCACACGGTAGGGATGATGTATCTTAACTACTTGGATTAGATGAGGCTTGGGAGACAGAGAAACTTGGAACTGAAGCCTATCTCTGCTTGATTTTTGCTGTGTGACTTGACAAGTCACTTGACCTCTCTAATCTCTCTGGCAGGACACAGTTTACTTCTGTAAGGTTGGTATGAGGTTGATATGGAGTGATGTGGGTAGAGTTCCAGTACAGGAAGTCAATACGTGATCTTAACATGGCCTTTCACATATACCCTGTGCCCCTGTTTGATGTCTTGGAACCCTCATACCCCACCCTTACGTGTAATTTGAAAACCCTCTTACTCTGTTGGGTGAGCTGTGAAGAGAGAGAACTTCCAACACACACTCACAGATTAATTATTCCATTAGCCAAAAGCCAGCTCCATGCGGGGGGCCCATTACATGGACAGAGTCCCTGGACTAGACACAGGGATTCAGCTGTCCTGGCTGCAGTGCTATTGTGTGCCCCTTTCTTGCCTCCTTTTTCTTTCTTCCCTCCATCCCTCCCACTGCCTCCCTCTGGGGTAATGGGAGGGGCTTCAGGTTCCACTGCAGAGTGAGCAGCCTGGGGCAGCATCTGTTTGCTCTGGATGTGTGATTGGGCAAATGGGTGTGCACACAGCTGTGTGTGCATGAGTGTGGTATGCCTGCCTGAGTGTAAAGGAAGTGTGTGTACTCAGCCTGAGAGAGAGAGAGAGAGAGAGAGAGAGAGAGAGAGAGAGAGAAAGTGTGTCTGTGTTTATGTGTATGACAGTATATATGTGGATGTACATATGTGAGCTCATGATGGGGGTTATATACTGAGGAAGCTCCTAAGCACTGAGATGGAGCTGAGTGAGAGCAAGAGCTTGGTCCCTTTTTCCTGTCTGTCCTACTGGCTTTTGTATCTGCCAGGACATGGAGCCTCCTGGCCAAGCTGGGACTTACCGGTGTATGGAAGAGACTAAACCAGGCCTTTGACTTTGACCTTGGCCGTTCTACTCGATCAGGACATCTTCCCCAAGAGCCATACTCTGGGCTCTGCCCTGGGCTTCCCTTGAGGGTATCAAGTATGGGCTGCTGCCTGGGGAAGGACTATCTTTAGAGGCATAGTAGCCCTGCTTGGCGCTGCTTCCAGTCACCTTGGCAGGTGGCTGAGGAGACTTTCACCTTTAGCTGAGCTGCAGGCTAGAGCCATGTGCCATCCTGTGGGGGAAGGGGCCAAGAGAGGAAGCCAGGCCCAAGGGAGGCCACACAGCCATCATAGCCATCTGCCACTAGGTATCCTAGAGACTTGACTAGACCCAGGTGGTCACCACTCTGTATGACCATCTCTAGGGAAACTGTCTCCTTTGTGGGTGCCTGAAGAGTACTGCTGATGCTTCGCTGTGCTGGCTCACAGTAGGGTTTGTGATGCCCTGGGTTGACCTCGTCGTCCAGTCATGTAGTTGTGTAGTTTTTTTTTTTATTATTTTCTTTTTTGAGATGGTGCCCCCCTGTAGCCCCAGCTGACCTGGAATTTACTATGTAGACCAGGCTGGCCTTGAACTCACAGAGATCCACCTGCCTCTGCCTCCCAAGTGCTGGAATTAAAGGTGTGTGCCACCACACCTGGCTACAAATACGTCACTTTTCAGTTCTTGTTCATGGAGTACTTACTATGAGTTACATCTTGTTCTAAGTGCTGGAGATCTTGTGGTGAATGTAACAGACCCCACCCTCTGAATACTGATGCTGTAATGGGGCAGAAGATAAAAAGACAAGAGAACAGGACAGGGTGTATCAGGTGTCAGAGAAATGAGGGACAATTTTAAATAGGGCAGTTCATCAGGGCAAGCCTCTGAGACAGTAATATCTTAGTAAGCCTCCAACAAAGTGATGGAGTGGATGGAGTGGTCCACACAAGGACCCAGGGAAGGGAGATCCAGAGGGAGAACCAGCCAGTGCAGAGGCACTAAGGGAGGGACATGGGGATATGTTTGAAGCCCGGGGAAGCCAGTGTGGGTGCAGCAGGACAGATTCAGGACAGGAGAGGATCGCAGGAAGGATTGTGCACAGGGGTTTAAAGGAGACTCTCAGACCCAGAGACTCACGCGCAAATCTAGGGAATCCGTGAAAGAGGATGGGAATGCCATATCTGTTTTCAGTGATGAAAGGTGCCCGACCACTTCTCCATTACAGATGTGGGATGTGGGTGATGAAGTCTGGCGTGGGCATGGCATCACATTTGTTGCAGTTACTCTAAGTATCATGTACACTCATCGAGGCTTCTAAATGATCTGCCATATGATCATGTTAGATAGTGGGCTAGTGCAGAAAAGCATGTCATTACCTAAAACAGCGGTATTAAAATATTTCCATAGCTGAACTTGAAAATGATTGGTTCCCTTTCACCTAATAACACTGCGTGTTGCACGTTATTCAGTTGAAAACAGAGAAGGGTCCATGGGCTTCTCCTGACTCCATCCTGACACCCAATGAGATTAGGAACCTCAAGACCATTATAAGGACTCTAAAGCTCTCCTGGTGGAACTGGGCAGCTCCTTTGGGTGCCTGAGCAGGAGTGAGGTGAACATATAACAGGGTGAGGCTGGGGGGTAGTGTCCAGGAGTTTAAAAAGCAGGATGGGTTGGGAACAGAGGTCATCCTCCAGCCCTTCCTCCCTCCTGCCATGCCTGGGTGTCAAGATTGGTCCCTGGTAGGACTCAGACCTAAGTCTTTTAATTTTGGTGGCTGAAGGCTGGGCTAGGAGTTCCCCAAAGATGCAGCCAGGACATTGGCAGGACCTGTGAGGATGGGGTAGGGGAACCTTGAATCAGGCATGCTGCAGGGGACCAGGGTGGCCCTCCGAGATTCACTCTGGTAGAAACAGCAAGAACACCAGGTAACTTTCCCATATCCTGCTGTGCCAGGTGCTGTGCTAAGAATGTTGTGTGAACTAAATCATCTAATCACTACAAATACTCAGAGAGGTGGATACTAGTACCTATGAATGCCCTAGCACCTATCAATATCCAAAGTTTACAAAAGAGGAAACAAGTCCAGGAACCATGAGGAATTTGCCAAAAGCCACAGCTGGTAAGTATCAATCTAATTTTGTTGTTGGTGATGTGGTTTGAAAGAGTCTCGCTGTATAGACTGGGCTGACATGGAACTTGCTATGTGGACCAGGCTGGCCTCAAACTCACAGAGATCTGTGTGCCCCTGTGTCCCAAGTACTGGGACTACAGGCATGTGTCACCAAATCCAGTAGCAATCTTACTTTTTAAAAAGCTGACAGGTGTGTGTGTGTGTGTGTGTGTGTGTGTGTGTGTGTGTGTGTCTGTCTGTCTGTCTGTCTGTCTGTCTGTCTGTATTGCACGCAGAGTTGTCTGTCTGTCTGTCTGTCTGTCTGTCTTGAAAGCAGAGCCCACCAGGGAAGGAAGGGTGGTTCTTCCTGTCTGGGGAAGTAGAGAGCCAGGCAGATCGTATCTTATATCTTTTCCTATTGAGGAAACAGAGGACCAGAGAGGGTCAGGGGGCATAGCTGGTCAGTGAGACTGAGGTCCCATGCCCTCCATTTTTGCCTCTCTCAGCCTTGCTCCCATTGGGGAACACTAGCCTCAGAAGCACCCTCACACTCCCAGTTGCATTCACTGCTCCCTCCAAACCCCACAGCCCCCCATCCAGTGATGGTGCCTGACTGTCTCCTGTCAGTCAGTGTGCAATTGTGTAAGGCAGGTGCTCGGAATGTGACCATGCATTACTCAACCCTCACCCTCAGATGAAAGTGCGTCCGTTACACACAAACAACTGATCAAAATAAGACCTAGAGAGGTGGCAACACCCACAAGGCTATGTGGCCCAGAGGGGCTAGGCTGAGGCCGGACCTCACATCTGGCTCATACCACAGCTGGTGTCTTCATGGGTGCCAGAAATCACACAGTACTTTGTACATGCCACATGCTTTCTAGGTGATGCCCAGTAGTCCAGGTGCTGCCTCTTGCAGTGACCTGTGCAGGAGGCACTATCCCTGTTCTCAGTTTATTGGCTGGATACCTGACATATGAGAGGTGAAATAATGTGTGCAGATTATCCTGCTGGTCAGGGGCAGCCTAGCTGTGTGGCCCCAGAGTCTAGGTTTTAGACTCCTCCTGCACTGTCTTGCTGCCTTTGGGGTCTGAAACCAAACCAGTGCCCAGGGAGGCTGCAATCATTCCTAGAGGTGGGCTGTTTCTGTTAGCAGTCTCTATGGTACCATTGAAGACAGGCTTTCTAGATGCACCCATGGGGAGCCTCTGCCACAAATGTGGCCTCTAGGAGAGGCGCTAGGGCTAGCCATACACACACACACACACACACACACACACACACACACACACACTTTGGAAAACCCCCAGGAAATCTTCAGGGATTGATGAGAAGGCCCTATTTGCAGATGGGGATGTTGAATCTCAGCTAGATAAAATGACTTGCCCAAGGTTACTCAGCTGGTAAGCAGCCAAGAGATGAATCAGGCCATGTGAGGGACTACCAAGCCCATGTCCTTCCTGCCAAGCTGCTGTGCCCCTCCCCTGATTGGGTAGGCAGGAGGATGCCTGAGCTAGCTTGGGAGATGCTTGGTCTAAAGGAGAACTGCTGTGGGAGAACTACTAAAGGAGACTAAAGGAGAACTCTCTAAAGGAGAACTACTGTCCCTGACTCCTCCCACCCTGACTCCAGGGCCTCTTATGCCCTGTGCTCAGGCTGAATAGCGGGTTTTCCATGAAGGAAGAATAGGGGACTCTCCTGAGGGATAGGAGTGGATGCCTTCGCCATCCCCATGTCCCTTCCCAGTCACTCAGGCCTGTTTCCTGAAGGTCTGGAGTGGGGTTGGCTCTGGGATCTGGAGGTCAGTCTGACCCACCTCCAAAACCCCAGTGCCTTGTACAGCACAGGACATGCTCAGCAAGCACATGAGGAATGCATGGGCAGGTCTTGGAATGACCTTGGTTAACTTTGACTCCTCCTTACTTAGCACTTTTCCCTTGGTGCTGGGACCTGAGGCTGTGGCCTCATGCATGCTAAGCACAAATATGCTGCTGAGTTGAAACCCACCCCATTCCCTAGCATTTTAATGAACTCTCACACCCTTCTCAACAGATCCTGGACCTCTCCCCCTTTGTGCACAGTGTCACTCATCCTCACAGTAGCCCTCTGTGAAATGACCACAGTGCATCTCATTTTATAGATTAGAACACTGAGCCTTTGGAGAGGTAAATAGAGGTGTCTGAAGCCCCATGGTGGGCAAGTGGGAAAGATGGCTCCCCCACTGTTCAGTCTCAGACTCAAGGACTCTAAACTGGGGTAATTCGAGGTGATGGGCAGCCCAGCCTCCTCAACATCACCTGGGGATCTCCAGACCTACTGAGTCATTTGGGGTAGAATCTAGCAGGCTGTGTCTTGGTCAGGATCACCTGGTGACTTCAAGGCACACTAGAGTGTGAGTAGAGCCAATCTGGAGCACTAAGTGTGTTGCTCCTTCAGCAGCCCTCCCAGAAACCCAACCAAGGGACCGGAGTTCCTGGTAGCTATTTTTACCACTATCACTATTTCATTTTCCAGGTGATAAAACTGAGTCTGGACCAAAACTCAAACCAAAGCCTTTGTCCTACAAAGCTCTTTCTCTTCAGGGACCTATTTTTTTCCATGTTTAAGATGAGTGAACGGAACAAACGGTTGTTGGAGGAGAGGAAAAGTCAGGGGTCAGGAAAACAGTGATCAGGGCTTCAGCATGAGAAAGACTCGGCTCTGGCCATGGTGCTGAATCTACAAGCCAGAGAAATGACGGCCTCCCAGGGTAGGAGATCTCCTTTAGAAGCAGCTGGGTATTAGGGGCGCAGTCCATGGCCTCACTCCCAGAAACCGAGAACCCCAATGGTAGCACCAGGCTGGATTTCCAACTACCCCCCACAAGTCGGGAAAGGGTCTAAGAGGCCAGAGCCAGTCTGTGCCTTTAAGAGCAAAATAGAGCTGATGTAGGGGGTAAGCTAACCGGTCTGAGGGGATGGATTAACCCTTCCTGCTCAGCTCAAGATGACAGAAAGACGGGGTGACAGCTGGGGACATACATTCCAAGCCCCAACCTAAGGAAGGCCCCAGCCAGGACGGAAGGGAGGGGAGCTGTGCCCTGGGGGCCCACAGTGTCCGGGACAGAGGTAGGAAAGCAGACTGACTCAGGCTGAGGCTTCCCTCCACTCAGCCGGCTTCCCTGCAAGGCCAACCTGTCCCCAAGCCTTTGTCTCAGCTCAGCGTCCCATGGCCTGGTGTCCCTGGAGGGAAAGAGGCCCACAGAGCTGATCCTAGAATTGGGGCTGCGCTCTGGGGCCAGGAGGGTGGTCCTCCGGAACCCGGTGCCACCTGCCTCTCCGGCCAGGTCCCCTCCCAGCCTCCGTGGCCGCACCCCGCGCCCGCTCTACCTTCTGTGAGCTGAAGGACTGGGTCCAGTGGTACAAAACCAGGCTCTCCTTGGGCCAATGGGCGGGGCTGGCCGCCTCGGGAGCGTTGGGGGCCTCCACCGGCTTGGCAGCATCACTCTCCAGCGCTGAGATGGGCCACCAGCTGCAGTTGGTGGGGGTCAGGTTGTTGGGGGTCGCCATGACAGCCCGCGATCCGAGGAGGAAGGAGGCGGCTCGGCAGCGGCTCGCGGGCGCCCAGAATCACATGGCCTCTCCGAGCCTGCCCCTCTCTCTCCCTCCCCCTCCCCGCCGATGTCATAACTCACTGGGCGCTGGGGGAGGGGCGAGGGGATCCCGGGGCTCCTTCTCCTGCTCCTCCTCCACCTCGCTGTAGGTCCACCCGGGTCCTCCCCGAGAGCCCCATGGGAGGGAAGGAGGCGAATGTCCCCCCCTCCCCCCCAGAGAGCTCACAGCTGGCCAGTCACCTGCAAAAGGATCCACCATCAAAACATTTGCATCTCTCAACCTTGGGGAACACCTCTTAGAATAAATGGCAGAATGGAGATCTATTTAATCCATCACACAAGTAGTGTCTGGAGGTAGCTCTATTTGAAACTGTTGTTTTTGACGCGCCCCCCACTTCTTAAGAGCTTCTAATGGCAGAAGGGAATGGACTTTATTTATTTATTCATTCATTCGTTCATTCATTCATTCATTCATTTTGAGACAAGGCCTCACTATGTAGACCAGGCTGTTCTCAACCCTCACAGAGATCCTTCTACCTCTATCTCTGGAGTGCTGGAATTAAAGGCATGTGCTACCAGCCCCAGTCCCAATTATGAGTTCTTGAATGACAAGTGCTACTTTTTCTGCGCCCAGCATGGTTCTAAGGCTTTTACAGCTGTCTACTCCTTTGGCCCTCATAATAATCCTTTCAGCTTATTTTACAGAGGAAGAAACTAAGGCTGAGAGCAGAGGTGATCTTGCCCAAGGTCACCTAGTAGCTGGTAGAGCTGAGATTCAAACTCAAGGCCTAGCTGGATGATTCCAGTCTGTTTTGCACTGTAAGGTCAGAAAGTGACCAGAATGCAGTTAGTAGCCCAATAAGCAGCTCCAGTCATTTACACAAATCCCATTACTTACACAGTGTTACAGAAATCCCATCACTTATACAAATCACATTACACAAATGACCATCACTTGCTCAGATGAGGAGGATAAGATGCCATGGGTGGGGTCCAAGGTCATACCTTTACCCCAGGAGTTGGAGCCCCAATCATAGGCATCTGAAGTAAGTCCTAGTGCCTCTTCTGTAGGTGTCTGGAATATTCATGGGAACTTCACATAAAGTCCTTTAGCATACCCATGCTTCTCTTAGAGATCCTGGCTTGCCTTTGCTTTGTTTTCTTCACTGGACATCTAGAATCCTCGCAGCACAGAACAGCTAATGCATCCTTCCTAATACTCTCTCTTGATAGACAGATCATAACATTTGATTTTGCAACCCTTGTAAACAGACACATGTGCTGCTCCTAACCATTTCTTGTACAAGTAAAGACAGCATCTCATTCACATGGACCTGTGGGATTCAGTGTCATCTTCGTGGCTAAGTTCCTAGAAGCAGTATTGCCGATCCAGGCTTGTGCCTCTGCCAAAACTCCGAAGTCTTTTCCCTGCTGAGGATCTAGAAGCCTTGGTATCTCTGTGCACTATTGCCACATAGCAGATAATTGTTTTTCCTATGTGAATCCAAAGGTTAAAAATGGAATCTGCTGTTAGTATTTGACTGTAATCTTTTCACTTTTCAAACATACAAAAATTGAAGCAAATGGCTCAGTGGGCATTCACATACCTGTCACCAAGACACAATTGTTGTTGAAATCTCACCCTCCTGCAATTCTTGTTTAAACTACAGGCATTGTGATATTTCTCAAACGAAATGCTTCAGTGGTAAAGTATTTAGTTTGGTTGGTTGTTGTTTACTTGCTTTTTGAGACACAGACTTACTCTCTGAAGCCCAAGCTGACCTGGAACTCACTATGTAGCTCAGACAGACCTAGTACTTGAGCTGGTCCTCCTGTCTCAGCTTCCCAAGTACTGAGATTACAGGTGTCTGACTCAAATATTTCACAAAGTAATAGATACTTCCTATCTAACATAGGCCATTTTGTGTGTGCGTGTTTGTGTGTATATGGGTGTGAGTCCACATGTACACATGTGCATGTGAGGGCCAGAGGTAGACACCGAGTGTCTTCTTCAATTACTCTCCAGCTTGTTTTTTGAGACAGAGTCACTGAACCTGGAGCCTGCTGGTTTGGCTAGATTAGCTGGCCAGAGAGCTCCAAGGCTCCCCCAATCTCTGCCTCTCCAGCACTGGAATTACAGGCAAGGGCTGCAGCACCAGGCTTTTTCATAGTTGCTGGAGATCCAAACTAAGCAAGCACTTTACCCTCAGAGTTGTTTCCCCAGCTTTTTCTCCTCCTCTTCCTCCTCCTCCTCTTCCCCCTTGTCTTCCTCCTCCTCTTCCCTCCCCTCTTTCTTTTTCTTTTACTTTTGTCTATTTTGAAACAGGGTCTCAACTCTGTAGCCCAAGCTAGTCTTGAAGTTTGGTAATCTTGTCTCAGCCTCCCTAGTGCTGGGATTAAGGTGTGAACTACTATGTGCCTAGCTTTAACATGTTTTTTTCTTATGTAAAACAGCTTTGAGGCCTGGCCATGGTTCTTGCTGCTCTTGCAGAAGGCTTGGGTTTGGTTCTCAGCCCTGGGTGGTTCATAAGTGCTGTAACTCCAGTTCCAGGGGATCTGATACCCTCTTCTGGCCTCTGTGGGCACTTGAACACATGTGGTACACATATATACACTCAGTTATACAAATATACACATAAAATAAAAAATAAATCTTTTAAAAAATATATTATTGGAGAGATGGCTCAGCAATTAAGAGCACTGACTGCTCTTGCAGACAACTCGAGTTCAATTCCCAGCATCCACATGGCGGCTACAAACCGTCTTTAACTCCAGTTCCAGGGGAATCAGAAGCCCTCTTCTGACCTCCACGGCATTGCACGACACAGGCACACTCACATACATGCAGGCAAGACAGTCATACACATAAAATAATAAAATATTTTTTAAAATATTTTTTATTATTTTTATTTTATCTGTATGAGTGTCTTGCCTGTGTGTATGTGAGTGCACCTGTGTCATACAATGCCTGAGGAGATCAGAAGAGGGTGCTGGATCCCCTGGAACTGGAGTTATGGATGGTTGTTAGCCACCATGTGGGTTCTGGGATTCAAACCTGGGTCTTGTGTAAGAGCAGCCAGTGATCTTAACTGCTAAACCATCTCTCCACCCCAAATAAATCTTTTTTTAAAAAAAGAGTATTTATGGCCAGGCATGGTGTTGCACACTATTAATCGTAGCACTTGGGAGGCAGAGACAGGTGGATCTCTAAGTTTGAGGCCAGCCAAGTCTACATAGTGAGTCAGTTGGAGAGATGGTTCAGCAGTTAAGAACACTAGTTGTTATTGCAGAAGAACCAGGTTCAGTTCCCAGCATCCACATGGCAGCTAATGACTGCCTGTAACTCCAGTTTCCAGGGATCTAACACCCTCTTCTGGACTCTGTGGGCATTGTATGCATAGGTACAATTACACACATGCAGGTAAAACACTGATACACATAAAATGAGAATAAGTTAAATAAACCAAAACTCCCACAACTTTCAGGCCTTAATAATTAGTCCATATTCACATTTCCATTGTTGCCAGAAATGTCTTCATAGGTTGATTTAATCAAGAGTCCAAGATTCAATCAAGGACCATACAACAAATTTTAACTTTATTATTATATCTCTTAAGTATCTTTTTTTTTTTTTTTTTTGGTCTTTTTGAGACAGTTTCCCTGTAGCCCCAGCTGGCCTGGAACTCACTATGAAGACCAGGCTGTCTTCAAACTCACAGAGATCCACCTGCCTCAGCCTCCCAAGTGCTAGGATTCAAGGCATGTACCACCATCGCTGGCCAAAGTTTTACTCTTTTTTTCTGGTCTTTTTGAAATAGGGTCTCCCTGTAGCTCCAGCTGACCTGAAACTCACTATGTAGATCAGGCTGGCCTTGAACTCAGAGATCAGCCTGCCTCTACCTCCCGAGTGCTGGGATTAAAGGTGAGAGCCACCAAGTATCTCTTAAATCGTGAATGGTCCTTACTCACCACCCCCCAACATGACATTGAGTCCAGCTATCTTGTACAATTTCCACTCTGGGATTTGTCTGGCTGCTTCATAGTGGCGTCCTTTAGCTTTTCTTACTTTCACACATATTTTTTCTTTTGTCTGTTCTTTGCAGTACTGGGGATGGAACCTAGGGCCCCATGTGCTCTAGGCAAATACTTTGCCACTGAACTCAAGGCCCAGCCCCTGTATTTCTTATAAACTAGCTAGGCTTACTATTTTGAGGAAAAGAATTTAGTTACTATTCCTGGGTGGGGTTGTGGGCTCCACTCTATTGCCCATCAGATGGCCACAGTGTCTGGCCAAGCTTGAGCTCAAGGTTAAGGTAGTGGCCATGTCTCTACATGGTAAGTCCATCTCCTCTCTCTCTAGTCCACACCTGGTGGGAAGCCACATTCTCTCAGCTGACAGCTTTGACTGAGTCCATTATCAGAGGCTGTGAAATGATTTGCCAATTTTGTCTTTTTGGTCTTTGTCAGCTAGCATCGTTTGCTTGAATTTCATTAACTATGACTGAATTTACCCATCCTTTCAAATGTCTAATAGCCATTTCAATTTCTTTCTTGGTGAATTGGCTGTTTCTGTGGGGACCTGGGCAATTATAGCACCACATACTAACTGCTGTCAAGAGGTTGACAGACCCAGGGTGTGGGGACCTAAAGGCCCCACCTTGCAGAGGTCCAAGAGGAAGTTACTGGGGTGTAGCCTGACTTGTTTTAAAAGTCTAAAGGACACTTCTGCACTGCTGAGGAGTGCATGATCAGTGCGTGACCATCCTTAAGATACACCCTTAGGGGGAGGGGGGATTTCCAGGTGCCTTTATAAGCTCTATAACACCTGTAATAAATGAGTCCCTGCTTGACTAGGCTCCCTGTTGCATCTGATTGTCCCCGGTACTGGGGGTGGCACGGGCTGGCAAACTGCACACTTACTCATCCCCAATCATCACTGTGTGGGGGTCGCTGGTTCGAACCCCTGGCAACTGGTGCCCAGTGTGGTGCTTGAAAGAAGGTGAAAAGAAGAAAAGAAAGAAAGAAAATAATGGATTGGGGCCAATCGAGAAGCTCAGGGTAAGCGAGACCCGAAAGATGGGTAACGCAATCAATAAGCCTGAGAACCCGGCGCATAAAGCACTGAGGGATATGCTTAAAAGCAGGGGATTGGATCTGTCAGATCTGGTA